AGAGGAAAGCGAAATAGACTCTGAAGAATCGCCTGATGACGAAACTATGAAAATAAAGGGGCCAAAGACTACCCGATATAAGTCGTTAGAGGAAACAATTATAGTACCAATAGGTGAACCACTTCGATTTGATCTTACAGCTCGAGAAGAGATAACGGACGACTCTTCTGATGACGACGAACCAGCTCCTCCTCCTGCTAAAAAGCTTGATGAACCCAAACGTGTGACAAAAGAAGTTGCCGAACCGACACCAAGTGTAAGTTCTCACCCAAGACAACCTGATACTGCTGTTGAAGAAAAGAAAGAACCGAAAGAAAATGTAAAAACACTGCTGAACGTAATAATTGGTGTTGATAGGGGATCAATGTTATGTGACGCAAGAATTATTCTTTATCTGATTGCATCTGTTTTATTTTCGATGGGAATTGGAATACCATTTTGTTTTTACCCTGATGTTTCAAGGCAATATGGTAAGTAAAGATAAAAACTGATATTAGTTAACCCTTATTCTAAGTTCAATTTTATGGAACCTGTCTCGTACTGAAATGGAAATGATTATTGTAGGTTTGGGGTAATTTTCTATACTTATACTAAATACTAAAACTGGCTAAAAGTCTATTTAATTATGTTGGTGAAACTGCTGGAAATACCCTACTGACACCTGTGGGGGGGGGGGGGGGCAAGGGGGCTATTTCAAAGAAACTTTCAGATAATTAAATAATACTTTCCTTCTTACTTTTATGTTGCATTATTTGAAAAATTAGCAACATACATGTTGACATAATGATATTTATCAACAAAATGTTTCGGATATCTTATTAATTTAATAACTGATTTAAATGCTGGATTTAGCAAAAACATTTGCGCTTGTTGTTTTTACATAAAAAAAAACGACAACACACACGGTTAAAAACGATACGCGCAACAACGTGTTCAACAGTACCACCAATAACAACAATAACAATAACATCAAAAACAACAGCATAAACAACAATGAAACAGTCAATTTTATGCTGAATTTCAGGGTTTTCAGATACAAAGGCTGAGTGGACTTTGTCTTTGATTGGTCTGGGGTCATGTATTGGTGTTGTTTTCAGCGGATTCTTCAGACAGATTCTTTCTAACAAACTAGAGTGTGTGTCTAGAATGCTGGTGTTTGTAACACTGTTGTTTGCCGGACTAGCTGTAGGCTTTGTACATTATTATACGACGTACGGTGTGCTTTTATTCAGTGCACTTTTGTTTGGAATATTTTACTGTAAGTAAACAGAGCATATTTATTGCGTTTTAAATATTTTAGTCAATCAAATATTAAGTAAAAAACCAACATCAAAAACAACAGCCAAAAAAAAGCAACAAAATCAATCATTAATTGCACATAACATGTTAATTATTTCTTGAACTGTGAATATTTTTACAACTTTAAACATTTTTCTCAAGGTTAATTTTCTTAAAAAGTTTGACTCAGCTGGGGGCATGCCGCTTTAAAAAATGAATATGAACTTCCTTGTATTTTTATTACACTTTTGATAGCTTAACGTTCTACATCGGAGTTTATATTTTTTCAATTTACAGCCACGTTTTATTTTCTAAGAAGGAATATTTTACATGAAATAGTATCCGAGGATTACTTCACATCCGCGTACTACTTGAGTTACTGGATATGTGGAATAGGATATTTAATCGGAATCCCTATTTCAGGTACGCGATTATTTCAGTTTTCTTATAAAGTAGAATGCCATTTAATAAATCATTTAGTGCTAACGTACGTTTTTTAAGGATTTATAAACCATATTTATACGCTGAAGAATGTATAAATGACATCGAACCTTACATATTTTAGTTTGGGGTTTTAAACTGCAAGTTTGAAATAATTATTATTATATTTCAATTTGACTCTTTTCGACGTAAAATATTTCAAACTAATACGTAAATCTACGGAACGCATTTACTGCCTTATTATACATTTTTGTACCATGTGCCAACTTTGTTATATTATGTGCACTCTTTATGATATTATATGCATACTTAATTATATTATGTGCATATTAATCATATAACGTGCCTACTTTATTGTTTTGTGTAATATATATTATACATGTATAACAAGATAAAAAGTGTACGTACAGTGTACTACATTATATAATGAAGTTTGCACATAACATAATGGTCAAGGTACATAATAGCAGAAAGGCAGGTATAATGGAACAGTAAGAGCGTTCCATGTAATAGACACAAAGCTATCTGATTTGTACCAAGTATTAATCGGTTTGCCGAGTGTTTTGATGTTTTTTCTCTTTTGTATCGTAGTCAAACATAAAAACACGTTCCCTGCTGTCACAATATAAATCCCCAGAAAAAGTAACCAATGAACGAGCATCTGAACATGATATTTCTATCACTTTCTCTTTCTCTGCCGTCACAATAAGTGAACCCCAGCAAAAATGAGCCAATCAATGGGCATGCTCTGGAGTGCGGGTAACTAATACTAATACCGATTTAACTCTAGAAAGGTCCCTAAACATTGATACAAATATAAATAAGCTACAATTACGGTATATTAAATGATTCACAATCATTATAACGATTTACTCTCAAATGTATTCATTAAAGCTTAATTCCGACTAGCTAGATCTGCCATCATGCCATCAAACAGTAGCGCACGCGCGGATAAATAAATCATCAGTTATTTCCCTTCATGGTAAACATGGATTTGAGTATATCTATTAATTCTTTCTGATCTCATTTGTTATTATGATAAATTATTTTGACAACTAGAGGTCAGTGTTTGAGAACATTTATTGTATGTTTCAGGATGGTTTAAGGACACATATAATACTCATACATGGTCGTTTCTAATGGCTGCAGTGTGTTTTGGTGTCGGTGCTCTACTTATATTCCCTTTAATATTTATGAAGAGAAAACAATGAAACAACATCATAATCAACGACAACATCATCAACAACAATAACAACAAAAGCAGAAACAGCAGCAACAGAAACAGCAACAACATGATCAATAACAACAACGACAATAGCAATTGTCGACCATTTCATAATTCTGGGGCACAATCTCGTCATTTAAATATTGTCCAGAAAAAAAAATCGTAAATATAGATTAAACTTTCTAATTTTAATAAATGATGCATATATAACTAATTAAAATAATTTGAGTGCATGTGCTTTGATGTGCTAGTATGAACAATTTTACATGTATATCATACTTAATGATTGAGCATATAGGTAATGCATAGTAAATTATACTTTGTTATATCAAAATCAAAATTTGAGCCGCGTCACGACAAAACCAACATAGTGCGTTTGCGACCAGCATGGATCCAGACCAGCCTGCGCATCCGCGCAGTCTGATCAGGATCCATGCTGTTCGCTTACCAACTCTATTACAAGTAGAGAAACTGATAGCGAACAGCATGGATCCTGATCAGACTGCGCGGATGCGCAGACTGGTCTGGATCCATGCTGGTCGCAAACGCACTATGTTGGTTTTGTCTTGACGCGGCTCATTTACATTTTTGTATTATAGAATATCTGATAGATCATTGATACTGATTACTTGCTTAGAAAAAAAGTGCAATGTATTATTATTTGTTTTATTTAAAAGCTTTTTATAGTACAATAAATATGGTTTGTTTAACATTTTAAATTGCAATAACATTAAATATACCTCAGATATGCGTATGCAATAAATGTTGTTATTTGCGGTTACAATATTTGTATCTTTTTATAGATTAAATGTTGATTTGCTTTCCACAGTTTAAACAAAATCATTTTTAAATGTCTTATATCCGTGTCTACATTAGTGGTCAATGATTTAAGTGTATAAGTAAGTAATGATTTGAGGTTGTTCAATTGGAATATAATTCACATTCAGTCGCATTTGTATTTATTATAACAAAAACTGCGTTAGAATATATAATTTAGTATTCAAACTGATGTTTCATCCCTCACTGTAAAAACAAAACAAAAACTTATTGATTTGTTATATAATTTCGGTCTTTTTTGACGGCTTTTAGCTTTACAAATGGCAAAAGACACAATGGCTTTTAGACACACGATGGTTTACACAAACGGCATTCAGTGAACAAGTTTTTGAAAAAAAAACTCGTTTTTTTATATGTACTCGTATTATTTTTACTTGTAATCAAACTATGACACTATATCAAAGTAGGAAGAACATCTTAAAATGCTTGTAAATCATCTAATTACAGGGATAAGCCCGATATGTAACTATGTAATAGTTTGAAGGAATAGATAACTGTTAAAAGGTGGATTATAGTTTAATATACACTGTTTGCTGTCTTATTTTTTTCTGTTTCATATTTTTAATTATTAAATGAAGTTTTTGTATGTCGATATATGCTATTTTCTTGTTAAATATTTTGAATACGTTAAAATATTTATGTATTTTTTTAAAATTTATACATGTATGTACTACATGTATATCACAGTCACAATCTTTATCAAACATTACACAGTATACAAGTTCAATATGAGAAAATAAAAAAAGCTTATAAATAACCTAAAATACATGTACATGCATTTTGTATATTTAAACACACTAATATACATGAATATTATATTTTTGTTTATGTTTTCACTTACCCTGTCTATAGAAAAGGTCAAACATACTGAAAATCTTGAAACTTTACATTTTTATTAGTTGTATTCATAAATCGATCGTTTTTATGTTTATTTAATTCTTCATCTAAAGTATAAAACCGAAATCTTCTACCAATATGTATGTGCCGTGCCAATTGAAAACTTGAAGGTGATTATATGCTTGTTGTTAATTGTATATGTGTATAGTAAGCTTATTGTTAAATGTATATGTGTATACTAATGCGGATATATAAATGAACTGAAGGCCTAAAATAAAAAATGTTATTTATGATGATTTACTTTTGTCTCAAACCCAAAATATCTCAACTTGCTGGTGGCAACAGACTTAACCCCTGCGACCAGTAAAGACCAAGATCAACTGGCACTTCCTAGCTGTCTGATCATGGTCTGCACCGTTTGCTATTCAGTCAGTACATATTTTGAAAAATTCCCTAAAATTATTAATGGCTTTCCAGATTGAAAGATGGGCGAGTCTATTTATAATATTAAGAGTGCTGAGAATTAATAAATATTTACTTCTGTATGCTATATAAGGCATTGTTTAATCACAAATTCTGTGAACAGATGTTTTTGCTACCAAGTTCCCTGGTAAGTCACCCATACCCAACCAACTAGGCCATGAAGAAAAAGCTCCAAATGTTCCGTAAACAAATGTTTCTGAAGTGTCTTTATCTAACTCATCATATCCAAAAATCAAATCTGCAATGTTAACGATCCAATCGTCATCGTCTACTGCTTTCAGATAATCCGAATCATTAAAAGCTCGACTGGTGGATGTTTCTGAATGAGCAGCTATAAGACCAACACACTTTCTATCAGGTATATCTATTGTGTAAACAAAGTCCACTGGAACTGTTTTCGAATCAGAAAACTTGATTTCTGGAACCGATGTAGACACATTAGTAAACGGGTTGGTCCAATTGTGCAGAACGTTCCTGGTTGTTGGGTCTACGAAACTTCCGGTTGCGCTAAGAAGGACTTGGAAATTATTTTGGGCGGAAATGTCTACCACACCTACAAAAATATCGCCCACAACATCAAACAATCTTTGATTATCTTTTCCGGTTATTTCTGAATAAACTGATCCGTTGAAGAGAAGATGAAACGATTGTTCCTGTTTAAAGAAGTTTTTTACCCTGTCATCAATGCTTGTTACATGTGTGGTTATGTTAGATTTTGTCCCAACTTCCGGTAAAATGATTTCCGGAAGACCACGATGTCGTCTGCTATCTATAACCTTTTTAAACTGCGTCCATGAAGTTTCATTTGGCACCTCAAATGTCTTTGGAGCATCAGTAAAATCAGAATACTGCCGCATGACAAAATCCTTTATGTCATCTGCTACGCATGCGTCAAAGCTGTTATTGCAAGTCCAAGCAAGCGTTGTGTAGAACAGATTTCCAGGAGAGCTAGACATGTTCATCCACGGTAAAAACTGCGATTTTCTAATCCATGTTCCCGTCATCCCAACACTTACGTCCTTGATCGTCGATAAAAGTGTAACATTTGAAAAGTATGTAAATAGTTCGACTGCGTCATAGACTGGTCCGGCAGAATAAGGCGCGTAGTAAAGTGGGTCAAGTGGATTCGGATATTCAAGAATCACGTCTAAATCAAAATTCAAAATAGCGGAAGGGAGTATTTTAGCCGGAATGATATCACCTAACTCTAATATACCATTTACCGGATTATTTGCGACGAAAAATACTTCATTCGGTTTCGAGGTCATTGGGTTCATAAATATTTCTAAAATCTCCATGGTAACAGGGTCACGGTAAACAACAAATTCCAGAGAAAGCGACTTGTATCCACCTTTTCCTTCTGAAGTCCAAATTTTACGATTGATATTGTATCCTTCAAAGTTTAGTAACTTTTTGAGAAGCTGGTGTGGCTGTCTCGAGAAAACCGTGCCATTAAAATAAACAATAGTGCTAACATTTGGATTTTTGTTTCCGCCGGTGCGGACAAAGAAATCTAAATTTGTCGCCGGATCATTGATATCATATGCTATAACACAATGTGTTGCCAACGATGCCAGCATCGCAATCAGTAGAAACAAAGAACTCATGACGTCATAAAAAGACCTGAAAAATATGTAGAGTAATGAATGAGTACAGGCATCTTGTAGAGTTACAATATTACATTGTATAATACGCACGGGGATGGAACCTCACATGGATCTCAAAAATGAGCATCGGTTAAGTAAAAAATATATTGAATTTCCGCTGCTCCAGATGTGAAGCATAACACAAGACGTGACAGTGAAATAAGGTCAATGGCAGGGTAATTTTACAATTTTTTAAACATTTATATATAATTCATACCTTTTTTCAAGGAAATCAAAATGTGATTCTACCCTCCTGACTCTCCTCTAGATTACATATGTTTGTATTGGATTTCTATGCAGTTTTCATCGAGATATTCCTTCCGTCATGGTGAGATTTCATAAAATCTCTGTATTTGGAGTCCGTTTAGTGACATTTTCTTCATTCACATTGCATGTTTTGGACACACCAGAACCCACGACGGAAAGAATATCTCGATGAAGACTGCATAGAAATCCAAAACAAAAAATGGGTAATATAGAGGAGAGTCAGGAGGATAGAATCACATCGATTTTCTTAAAAAAGGTTTGAATTTAATATATCTGTTTAGAAAGTTGAAAACTTACCCTGCGATTGACCTAATTTCACTGTCACATCTGGTGTTATGCTTCACATCTGAAGCAGCGAAAATTCACATATACATGTACTTTTAACCAATGCTAATTTTTGAGATCCATACGGGGTTCCACCCCCGTGATACAAGGCTACTGAACAAATTGGTATTTGAAGAAAATATTTTGTTGTGCAAACCTCATTTCTATCATTATAATTATATACTAGAATTATTAGAAACTTGTTTATGTATTAAATATACGAATTAAATTAATGAACACAACGATACAATATACTCACTTCTGATAAAGTACAATATATGTATAAAATTGCAACTGACCTTTTGATAATTTCAAAGATGACTACCACGTTAGAATTCAACTACATGTGTCAAATCATTATCAGTAAGTAATTTTATGTTCTATTTTCTATTTAAGACGTTCATATCAGCAGATCTTATTAAAGTTTAAATATTAAGATAATAAAAACTACAGTAGCAACTCTTGTCGAGCACACACACACACATGAACGCACATACACAAATAAATAGAATAAGTCTTTTCTGATTTAGCTAATAGAATAATTTTCCAATATTATCATAAATTCTTCCAACAAAATAACAGGAAAACAAATTACATTAGAAGATAATCTACAATTGAGTTAAAGTTGCTTTCAAAGCAGTCATTCAAATGACATGTTTACCTCTAAGGATTATTATGCCTCAGAAATCCATCTTCAGAAATGTCAAACAGCGCTGAACGTGCAGTAATGTGTGCAGGTTTCAAAATGTAAAAAGTAGTATTTTGACTTCCATACAAAATACTAACCCACTATAGTTATAAGTTACCAACAATCCAATAGAAGTAAAAGATTGTTCATCTATATGGCAAACGATTTGTTGTTTTCAAACTGTAACAAGATACCAAAATTTAAACGTTTTTGAGAGATGAAAATGAAAGCATTTCTGAGGCATATATTTCTGACTTGAATAATGTTTAATTACCCCTAAGATATGTGGCCTGCTTTTTAACCTTGTCTTTTGACGTCTTATCTGTGATATGAAGGTTCCATAACCTCTGATCCCTTTTCAAAATTCCATTTTGTTTAGTTCCGCCCATTGTTTTTGTTTAGGGCACACGCATTCTTTTACTTGGGGACCATACGCCGCTTTTCATGGAGTGGCACTAACGTGTCACATTGAAAGTGACCGCCGTATGAACACATCTGCGGATGTTTCAAAATTCCAAATTTTACCATTTTATATTAAATATTGAATTCTGGTAAAGCCTTTGCTAGGGACGTGGACGGTAACTTACACTTTCCATGACTGTTCACGAACAGGCTCAATCAGACCGAGTCTGCACATTTTCAATTTTATCGTTTTGTGCGTTCTTTGGCTGAAACCTTACAGAGATGTAACATACGTTGTATCATCATTTAATAACTTTAACTTGCTGAAATTGAATTGGTTAATAATGGAAGGTTTGTGATACAATAAAATTTACATTAGTAGACAAATCATGAAAGAATTTTATACGAATGTCGATGACAAGAGTGAGATACTTGATCATTTTTAACATTTATTTATATAGCAGATAATAAATTGTTCTAGAACAAAATATTTGAAACTATAACTTTGAAATTGAGGCACTACATCACTTAGAACTTTATAAACATTTTAAAGCAATATTTTGTTAGGATATCTAAATGATACATTTCTATTTTGTTTTTGTTTTTTTTAATTATTTTTTGAAATATGTATAGACGATGTGCCCATTGTAGACCTATCTACTTTGACAGTGTCAAAAATGATGCAAATAAAAGATGTCCATCTTCAAAATCTTCTGATACATGTACATTGTATATTCGATATGCTTAAACAGACCTGTGGGAGATAGTTAAATTGTTTGCAAATGAATTTTGTACGAATGATTTTTAATATTTTAAAGGAGTAATTTGTGTTTGTTTGATAATGATATTTGTGTGTGTGTGTGTGTGTGCGTGCGTGAAGAAATACAAATACAAAGAAACATGTACATGTACACATACAATGAGAAACAGAATTATTTTCGGAGAGTTTAGATATTTACATGTGTTGTCAAGAAATACGTTTCTGATTTGCAAAATTCTAAAATTTTAACGGTGCTAAAAACGTTTTCTTTGACCTTTGGCCTAGATGATAAATGATTATCTATACATTCTTTGCCAGTGACAACAGTAGAGTTTAAAATTTTTATTCTAAGATCTCTGTAGTGCGGACAAGCGAAGAGAAAGTGGTATTCATTTTCAATTGCTCTTATGTTACATGATATTCATATTTTGTCTTCACGGTGGGTATTATCATATCTTCCTGTTCAATAAAAAGATTGTGTGTAGAGGTTACTAAACTTAGTAAGTGCTACTATATATTTGTTTTCATGTACATACGGAGTCTAAATATAATTCTGCATCAAAATTGTGTTTGAATAAATAGTATTTAATCTAGAATTATTATTAATTTTAGGATATCATTTTGCATTAACATGTCCGATAATCTCTGTTTGATTGAGTTAATCGGTATTTCAGTATCAAATAAGTTATCCAAGACATACATAAACCCATTACTCGATAAGCTGTCTTTTACATAAGAAGCCCAGTTTTTACGACCATAATAAGGCCCGGAGTCAGTGCCGGTAAGATTGTTTTACAGTTGAAGAGTCATTCTGATTAAGCATCTTTTTCAAATATCGAGGTATATAGTAACTTTCATTTGAGATGTCGTGGATTAGATTTACGACATCAGCTTTAGATGGATGTAACACACAAAGAAGATTATTCTAGAAAGATTCAATTAAAATTCAATCTCAGATCAGAGGTTTTATATATTGTGTCACCTTTTCATCTACAAACCGGATTAAGTTTTGTTTTATACATATTACGTGTATTGTTCTATATGTTTAAATATTTTGTCACTGGACAAATATTTGTTCAAAATCCGCAAAGTGTTCCGTCCGCTGCTCAAAAATTTTGATGACTTTATATCATTGCGTTTTCCAGTACAGATATCATTTTTAACACATTAATTGGCGCGAAATTCTCGTTTCCGCTAACAAATGCGATGTAGCCGGTCTATTGTTTTATCTGTTTTTCTTAGATCCTGATGGAGAAACTGGAATGCGTTAACTTCTTTAGAGAATGGATTCGATTATAAATCATTTGCCATATTTTTACACAACAGGAAGTGCTATTTGATATCCCGGAAGTAGTAACTGATGACGTGATTAGTAAATCTGCTTATTAGCTGAAGTATGTCATTTGGAAAAAAAATGAACCGAAGATTTCTACCCATTGATTTTTTTGAACTAGAACTGCCACTGTCATGGCGTGAATACCCCCGCATACCACTTTGTCAGAATCAACAGTGGCCATTTAGAGTTCAAGGACAACGTCCCTGCCAAATCTGAGGTTACTAAGCCAGTGCTATGTATTCTACATGCTTCAAATGTGAAAATGTCAAAATCAATAAACTGCGGACAGGCATTCTTAAGCAATTGAGGGGAAAAGCTTTTTTTAGTTGACCTTTGACCCAGTGACCCTCAAAATAAATAGGGGTCACCTTATAGTCATGATCAACCTCCATGCCAAATATGAAGACTGTGGGTCAAAGGAATATTAAGTTAATGGGTGGACAATCTTTTTGAAGTCAAAGTCCATGTGACCTTGATCTTTGACCCAGTGACCTTAAAATAAATAGGGGTCACCTACTAATCATGACTAACCTCCATGCCAAATATGAAGACAGAGGGTCAAAGGAATCTTAAGATATTGAGCGGACAAGCTTTTTTAGTCAAGGCCCCTGTGACCTTGACCTTTGACCCAGTGTAATAAAAATTAATAGGGGTCATCTTCTTATCATGACTAACCTCCATGCCAAATATAAGACTGTGGGTCAAAGGTTTCTTAAGATATTGGGCTGACAAACTATTTGAAATCAAGGCCCATGTGACCTTCACCTTTGACCCAGTGACATCAAAATCAAAAGGGGTCATCTACTAATCATGACTAACCTCCATGCCAAATATGAAGACTGTGGGTCAAAAGAATCTTAAGTTATTTGGCAGACAAGCTTTTTTATAGTCAAGGCTCCTGTGACCTTGACCTTTGACCCAGTCAACTCAGAATCAATAGGGGTTATCTATTAATCATGAGTAACCTCCATGCCAAATATGAAGACTGTGGATCAAAGGATTCTTAATTTATTGGGCGGACAAACTTTTTTAAAGTCAAAGTCCCTGTGACCTTGACCTTTGATCCGGTGACCTCAAAATCAATAGGGGTCATCTACTAATCATGACTAACCTCCATGCAAAATATGAAGACTATGGGTCCAAGGAATCTTTAGTTATCGGGCGGACAAGCTTTTTGAAGTCAATGCCCCTGTGACCTTGACCTTTGACCTGGTGACCTCAAAATCAATAAGGGTCATCTACTCATCATGACTAACCTCCATGCCAAATATGAAGACTGTGAGTCAAAGGAATTCCTAAGTTATTGGGCGGACAAGCTTTTTGAAGTCAATGCCCCTGTGACCTTGACCTTTGACCTGGTGACCTCAAAATCAATAGGGGTCATCTACTTGTCGTGTCTTACCTCCATGCCAAATATGAAGACTATGGGTCAAAGGAATCTTAAGTTATTGGGCGGACAAGCTTTTTGAAGTCAATGCCCCTGTGACCTTGACCTTTGACCTGGTACCTCAAAATAAATAAGGATCATCAACTTGTCATGACTAACCTCCATGCCAAATATGAAGACTGTGGGTCAAAGGAATCTTAAGTTATTGGGCGGACAAGAAAAAACCGACGGACGCCCGACGGCCGGACAGCCGGACGGACAAGCTGATTCCAGTATACCCCCCTTACAACTTTGTTGTGCGGGGGTATAATAATCACCGTTAACTGTTAGATGTAATACATCATCTTCTGTCATCAATTTTATATCGATTCTTCACCAGTCAAATAACAAATCCATGATCAAGCTTCACTTTTTTATTTATAAAAATCCGGAAGATATATATAAATAATTGTGATATACATATAAAATGCTAAATATACATAAAAAATACAAAAAGGAAACAAAATTGCTAAACAATGTATTAAATAATATACAGATTAATCGACTGAAAAGTAAAACAACGACATAACCTAATTTTTACCATACGGCTAAGGTTAAATGTGATCTTTAACATTACTGACTCACTTTGAATTAGGAACAGTCCATCTATAGTTTAAAGGAGTTTCAGCGATATCCAGATGCAAAAAAAAAAACATCTAAAAAAACATCTAAAAAAACCAATAAAGTTCTAACTAAGATCAACTGGTGCCATTGAAAAATGCCCAAATGAGAATTGAGAGGTATAGTCGGAATTAAACTGAAAGTCAATTTTTTTTTTGGTCGATATTAACCTGATATTAACCTAATATTAGCCTGATATGAGCGAAGCGATTGAATGCTTCTCTATTTTGAGTCATTTTGCACAAGAAATATTATACTGGAAATAAATGGAATGATAAAATGATTTAAAAGTTCCTATACAAATTATTTGTCCAAAATTTCGCCTAATGTGAACAATTCTTGCAAAATCATGTCAAATTACATCAGTGGAAACCCTTTAATGTTTTTTTTTTGTATTTACTTACTATTATGTATATTCAATAGTATTAAGCCTGATCAGACTTCACGCATAATTATAAATTTCACAAACTCTGGCTCAGTGTCATATTAAGTAATACAGTAATCTATGAGTATAATGGGAAAAAAAGACTGTCAGACATGTAAACACAATTTTAGAGTCAGATACAATTGTCGGCTAAAACATTTATACTGTAAAAACTGGCATGAAAATATCATATACATGTAATTTCATTCAAAATATATTCTTTGCCAAAATATTTCAAATTTGGAAGGCAACACTTCATAATCAAAATAATATAAATTATCTGATACAAAGTAAACTGATTTTTTTTCTGATTAAGGAGTTAGGGGGCGTGGACGTACCTTGCAGTTATCATTGCCGCCAATGCGCAGACTCAATCGAGCCTGCAACATTTTCAATTTTGCCGTTTTAGGCGTTCTTTACGGATTCAATTTTTCTCTATTTTATTTTAAATCATACTTGAAATTGAGGTTTGAGAGCTAGTTTAGAAATTCGCGACTGAAATATATTTCACAGCGGTTAAAAGTAATGCCACTGCAGAGGAAACTCGTCACACACACGTTCTGTTTATATGCATTGTATAAAATATTCTGATTGACATACAAGAAAAAGGAGTATCTACAGTAAAAATTATAGTTTTTTTACAAAATGAATGAAGATCCTCAAACAGTTAATGAACCCAAATCACTGATCACATTGGATGATATTTGGGGCCGGGATTGGGGGCCGGGATGGGGATGGGTTATTATTTCCATGGGTTGTTATACATGATTTCTCATTTCGCCTGTGTTCATATTTCAATCTTAACCTACAGAATTTTGTAATGAAAGTGTCCATCTTTTGATTTAAAATAAATGAAATGAGCAAGATTAGAAATAATTGATAAATATGCATATAGGAATAAAGTAATATACAAAGCAAAGACATTTTGTTAAGCAAAGACATTAGTGAAACATAACCATTTTTTTTTTCAGCACCTAAATATTTCTTGAACACAAGTACTTTCTGATTGAAAGTAAACTTCATATATATTTGCCTTACAAATATATTTGACATACAGTTTTGATAATTTCACGAGTGAATATGAATATATCATGGTCAGATTCAATTTTTGTTCGTTTCTTTCAATAATCTATGGATATGTTTCCATCAATTTTTATTTTAGATGATTTTTACACTTAGTTTGAATTTTTTTATACACCAGCGATATATCGTTGTTTTTGTGCCTTGACGACCTTTTTAATCAAAACGAAACCTAAATAATCACAAGTGATTCTATTTCATAAGTAATTACAATTGAGTCCGTATTTATATATGACAATACATGAATGTTTATATATTATAATTATATGCTTGAACACAGTTTATTAAACATGAGACAACGCATACATTGAGTATTCAGAATTCAGAGAGCTTGGATTTCTTTTCACTATCGTCCTCATACCCATTGTGTATAACTTCAATTTCTTCATCGGAATTCAACGATTTACTTTGTAGACATTTACAGGGACACCTTGACCCGTCAAACCCATCAAATGTTGGGAAGATGGGGACATATTTCCCCCACTTCCAGTTCCTAATTAGATTATTGCCGAATGGAAGATCATACGTTTTGAGACTGAGATTAACATTGTCCATCTCATCAATGTCGTCATCTTCTTCATCAGAGAAATCAGGAACTTCTCTCCAAATTATGATACCGCGCTCTTCATCCGTACCTGTAACAAATTATTTATTACTTCTTTAGAAAGAGAAAAAAAAATGAAATTTATCATGTTTAAATAATGGTTTTAAACAATGTTAAGTGCTTATTACCTGAAGAAAGTAGCGATAAATGTGAAATGATTTGTCAAAAAGGTAGAAACATGTAAAAAAGTAGTATTTTGACTTCCATACAAAATACTAATTTACTATAACTGTGCTTAGTGACAAAAAGCAACCGATGAAAAATGATGGTGCAGGTAATTAATTAGTGAGTAATGATTTGGATAGTCTAAAAGAACACTAAAATTAAAAAAATGTTTTGAGAAATAACAATAAAAGCATTTCTGAGGCATTATGGGTCTTTAACTAATTGATTTTTCTTTCAGTCAATTCTTGCTGTTTGTAATGGGTGATAGAAAGGTTAGAACAAACAATGTTGTAAAGGGTTGTTTCGACCCTTTTTATATTTACACGTTGACAGATGGATGAACTGGTCTATCTTGTAAGAAGCAAGCCCGGCACATTAAAAAACTTAAGCGGTTTAAAGATATTGTTTATATACGTATAGTGACATTCAGTTGAAATTATATTATCATTTTCATTATCAGGAAAGAAAAAAATGGAAAAAGAATCTAATAGAACACTCTACATACACTTCTCAGTACACTTCGGAATATCTAAACGAACTGTGCACGATTACTTACAATTAACGACAAGTAACCAAGTATTAGATTTATGCCATTTTACCAAATAAAAGTATTCCAATCATACGTAAAAAGTTGTAGTGTATAAACTGTCATAATGAGAAAGAACAAAAACATTTATTTTCTTTTTACATGTTATACTCACCAGGTATCACATTGTCCAGAACCAGTGCAGAAAAGCATCCCATAAACATATTGTTGGCTAGAAGTGCATTTATCACTTGATCTAAGCTATTGTTGCCTGGAAAATAAACAAACATATGTTGTTACTGTAGTGCTTTATCTACACCAAGTTGTTGTGTTATTGATGCCTTTTAACACGACAAAACGTCAACACGCAAAACCAATTTTACTGCACCTTTTTGTTCGGTATAAAGTCGCCGCACAAACAAAGTAAAAGTCATATGACGAGTTTTTCAGCTTTACTGGTGGAAGAAGTCCTATCGTGCTTCTCCGTGCATTTTTCGGACACGAACAGGCAACGACGTTACTTAAGTAAGCCGGATAGGTTCCTGAAATAAAATAATCCAATGTCCTTTGAGTGGACTCGTACTCACAGCAAAAGCAAAAAAGAGAGAGATTTCTTAGAAAATTGACTGCAATGAAAAGTGATGTTACAAACGTGCAGTATTATAAAGGATGTTTTCAAGTTACCTGTTTCGATAAGTGTGGAATTAGCCACAACCCAGTTTGGAAAAGCCAGACCGAGAAACAATGATATACCAAATACGACGAGATTTCTAGATGAATTGAGATCAACATATTGTAAATTAGAGGCCCCTACTGCTGCCAATACACCTGAAATATAATTGATATTAATATATCTTTATAATGTACAGGAGATATGTTGGGAGGTCACTGTAACAATGCCGAAAACACATAATGTAATGCAAAGGTTTAACATTAATGCCCTCTAAAAGATATTATGTTTATCATTCTATTCAGTACTATTGACTTTCAAAGAGAGCACAGTCATGTTTAATGCTTAGGTCATTAGTTCGAGTCATCGATAGGTCACAATCATGTCCCCCATGTGATTTATAGTTATACTTATTGCAGAAAGAGCTAAAAATTATAGTTTGTTCCATTAAATAATTGAAAAATGTGTTTGACTCTTATAAAGTGAACTTCAAAAGAAATAAATATATTGGATACTTGTTTGTTTCTTGTTTGTTTTCACGTCAACCCAATACAGTAGAGGTTATATGGCGACGTTCAAGCTTTACTAGTGTAGAAAGTCCATGCATTGATTTAGGCACACCTGACACCTGAGCAGAAATCCAGATGCTACCTGGGTAGCTTCCTAACATGCGGGAAGCAAAATTCCCTGATGGGATTCAAACTTACAGTGGGGATTGGCAAATGGTTTGAAGTCAATGACTTTGACCACTCGTCCACGGACGATTCGGTAGACAAATAGTTAGTTAAGTAAACAACTCACGTACCAAATAGTACAAGGAAAGATGCTCCAATAATAGGGTCAGGCATAGTTACAACCAGGGCACTGAATTTACCCAGGCAGCCAAATAACGCCATAATAAACCCAGCTACCAAAACTACTCGTCTGCTACCAACCTATAAAGTCATATGCATTTTTTAAAAGAAATGTTATATTAATACAGTTTAACATAATTATACATGGACTTGTTTTCTTCTTTCATGTTTTTTCTTATTTAAGAGTATAAGGTTGCAAACATTTGATACGGTTAATTTCATATGTATTTATCTTCCCATATTTACAGACAAAAGCTTAGCATTATAGCAAAACGATTGTGTAAGAAGTGTTAATTTTCAAAGTTTTTCAGATGTTTGCCGTGAAGAATATAAACCAGAAAAAAAGAAAAATGAAATGATTAAAATTAAAAATGCTTTTTAACTGATCAGAAAATAAACTTGCCTTTGTCAAGCTAATAACTCCAATATTCTGACTGCATGATGTCACTCCGAATCCTGCGCCCACTGCTGCAGCCAGGATACAGTCAATGCCTTCAATAAAGATTCCCCTGTTTACCGCAGCGGGTGGTGGAGGCAGGGCACCAGCCAGTCTTGCGCATGTGTAGTAATCTCCGATACTCTCTATGATGGAGGTAACAACGCCAGCAACCATAGCAACAAAAAACGCGGAGTTGAATGTTGGGACTCCCCAGTGACCTGACAAAAAATACTATAATATAGACCTAGTTATGTACAAAATACATTTTAATATTGACTTTCCTTGCCTCTGTCATATAAAACGAAGATGCATTCAACAATATTTAGGTATATTTAAACACATTTTCTTTGTTGTTGTGACAATGAAGTTCAGTATATTGTATACAAGTTTTGTTTGAGCACATAAAACGGACAGCGTCTATCGAGAATTTAAGTATACCACGTTTGTCTTATAGTTTTGATTAAAAGATTGACGAAATTAAAACTCACCCAAAAACATAAACCAAAACATCAGTAAACATACAAAGTGCTGATTATCATTTGTTTTCATGCCATTCTTTCTAAAAAGAGTTTTAAATATAGTCTTTGCTCAGGTCGCTCTTCCGTTTTATACAACTTAACTATGACTGTTTGCAAAGTTTCCTTTTTTGATACAGACAATTATTAAGATCACTAGTTTTAGAACATTTTATTCAAGCATCAAAATGTATATACCAGGATAAGGGAATCTGACCCATGGAACTTCATCTATGACGTTTAATCTGAGGTCAGTTCTGGCGTTATACCCGTACGTGCTGTCGTCATCCGGGAGAGCACCGGTAATCGTGAGGATGTAACACAGAAACCACATTATACATGTAGACAGTATTACCTATAATACAATCATATAACAGTCAACATATATACATGTACATATATATATTTGATGAAAACATATTAAAGACACATTACATATTATTATTATTTTCATTATTTATGAACTTCTTCGAAAAAACTCTTTCCTTATGTTATCCACCCTTTTTTGTATCTAAGAGTAAGAGTTCAGCTTATTTTAAATAAATAAATAAAGCGTTGTTAAATGCATGATATCTGCTACATCATCTGAGTTTTACTTTACTTTATGCTATCAAAAATGGGCCGATTTTTTTGCACAATTTTTTGATATGTAATATGAATTGGGAAACTTCTTCAACACATCTAAATGAGGTAAAAGTAAAAGCGGAATACCTACAGAAAATATTTTATGAAATACGAACTCCATCTTCTGTTCACGTCCTTTACTAAATGGATTACGGACTTCAAACACCGGTATAACTTCAGAGAAAAGTATGATCAGGACAATGGTACTGAAAATAAATATAAAATGCTGGAATAGCCACATGATTTTCGGTTCCATATTCCACAATCGGAACATCTCGGCTATTATTTACAATAACCTTATACTGAGACTGACGGAAAGTGCCGAAAAAGTTGCAATAGCATACTCTATTACGAGCAAATCAAGCTAATGCGTTGGAATTGATTTGCTAATTGTTACATGAAAGACCTTTTATTACATTCGTGCGGTGCGCAATCCTGTGCTATTTTCTATTCATACTCTTGCAAAATGTAATTGACCAGTTAATAGGAATTTATATCACTCTATAAGTTTCAGTATTTATGTCACAGCAGAAGTGTCAAATTATGAAGGTCAATATCAGAATAAATGACATATGGCTGCTCGGAATTCGCCAATGATAATTTCGTGTTGCAAACCATTAAGTAGAATTGAATTAAGAAAGGTTCGTACCCTCCAGAAATACCCCAGTGTTGACCAGCAAGGTTGAAGCCTGTCTCTGCAACAGAAAGACCCATCAACATAATCGTAGGGGCAACGGTCAATGGTCCAATAAACCGTAACAATACGCCGACCAGGCCACTGAAACCAATAAATATCTCAAGAATTGCGGCCACCATGATTGTACCAGTTAACTGAAAATAAAAGAAATTACACATACATATAGAAAAATAAAACCGTAAATGTTATCCTATAAAAGCTTTATACATTCCAACGGCAGCAACCTAAATCAAGTATTTGGTTTTGATTAATAAAATAATAATATCAATATATCTTATTATATTAATAAATTGAAATAATGTGTGTCCAATTCCAAAGATGAAAAAAATAATTTCAAAAGAAATATGACCTCACGTCTTTTAGAGTTGAACAAAAATTGATGAATAAAACGTGTATACCATATTTATTCTTTTGATATGTTCTTTCTCTTCATCCATGGTTACATTCATATCTAAAATAGATATAAAAAACACATACAATTTTTGTCTTGAGATTTAAAATACACATGATGTTATTTTTAAACCATAACAAACAAACTAAAGACGGGATGCACAAACTACTTGCACGCTTTTACATTTGATTGACTGTTGTACGATCAATTGTTTTATACAACACTAAACTTCTGATAAATTCCCTGATCTTTTATAAAAAAATCTTTAGATATATTAAGTGTTTATCGTTATCTAAATTTTCCACATTTGAAAAAAAACCCACTAAACTAAAAGTCTTAAATCAAGTGAGTGTGTTAATGATCATTCTTACATTTGTTAATAAAATAAAAGTAACATCTAATATCTTTAACACATAAAAAAGTTAGTATTGGGGTTATTTCTGCTGGTTATTTCAAAGCGAAAATGTAATATTGTCAGGTTTAAAAAGATCAAAACATTGGACAGAAAACGAGAATGTACCTAAGAGAGTGGGCTTATGAATGGCAGGGAGGGTACGACTCGGAACATGATCGAATTTGCCCTGAATGCAGTTGATCTAGATCTAGTTAGACTTACCATTTACAATGAAAGGATGTTTAAATGTACCGAACAGGATTTAACATGCCTTATTCATTAAACAAATCCCCATTCTAACTAACTAATCAAATGTAATTAATTAAAAAACAATCGCGTTGGAATCATCGGAACACATACTAAATGAAAGATGAAAGTATGCTAGACTGTTCTTTTTTTAAATCAATATCACCATGGTATAATAAAAAGTAAGCAAATTGTAAATACATGTATATCTTTTCCTTATATATGAATGACTGTAATGTTTGTATAGACAAATTCTTTCTTAAAACTATTTATTTCACCCGACTTTTTCACATATATTATCTTTTAAATCATTAAACGTTCCGTAGGAGAGGACATTACACAATCTGTTTGGTATTAATGTTCAAGTAAAATAATCATTTCAGAGCACCCTCTATCATACATTCAATAAAACACAAACAAACAAAATTATAAAAAAATGTCAACTTGAAATTCAAACCAAAACTACACGAATAAGTAAAAGATTATTTGCTCCAAAAATGAAGATCCACATAGAAATACTTTTCGATTAGTTTTGAATTTAATGTGTTAACTGTGATAAATTAATTGCAACAACATTCAACCAACATGCTACAATCTTCTTTTCATTTTGACATTCGTATCCCTCAGTTCGTAGTGTTGTTGTTTAAAATCGTTGTTGAAATTTGCGAAAATTCATTTTCAGGTAAATCAAAACACACAGTGTCAATACTCTGTTGTATTTATTTATTTTTATTCTTCACTTCTTGTTAATGCTGAAGTGTTCTTCGATAGGTAATGTGTGAATATACGATTTCTCCATACAAGCAGCAAATAGTGTCTGTTATACCCACGAATTACGTGGTATCTTCTGAATCCATATGAATTACAGGGTGTTTACATTGAATATTTTCATTTTAGATTTCATAGAGAAGGCTAAGTGTTCAAAACAAATTTTCAGAGCGAAATAAAATCCAAGGCTAGAAATATCGATTCGTTGTTATATCATTAAAAGAAGTTAAATATCATGTTTATATTGTCATTGTCAAAACATGTGTACTTCAGCACAAAGTACCTATCATATTAGAAAAATAAATGGATTTATGTCATTTTCTCGGGAAAAAAATCAAAATGATACAATATTATCTCATTCTTTCTTTTTCGGTCGAATGTCATTTGTAAGCGATTGTATTTCCTGTAATATTTACATGGAAGAACAGAATATAAGTAGAATTTTCAATGGTTATTTGATTCATTTCTCCTCTTAAGCCGACCAATGGTGTGAAAGCCAAATTTTACCAACAACCCGTCTTAGAACATACAGTTACCTTTGTCAGGAAGCGGCGAAAATAGAAAAATCCTTCTCACAATAACGTTGTGTTTCATCTTATATTTTTTACATTTTTCCTTCGCCATTAACGCAATTAAATATAATTAGACACTAATGTTCATTTACCCTTCTCTACAAAGGGATTGTAGGCCTATATGTCTAATTCGATTTATTAACAAATGATATTTACTGAAAATTATACTTTGCAGCAAGTTAAAATCGTCCGTGACTAGCAATATACTTGTCCAAAAAGGAACATAAATTTTCATTTCTGCTTATTTTGTGCTCAATAGTTTTTCATTCCAATTTAAAAGAAATTTTCTACCAAATACATTTGTTACATATTGTATTTCAAAATCAACATGTTTTAATTATACTAAATGTATTTTTTCCATTTGACCTTGTCGTTGTTATGGATAGTGGTGATGAGCAATGTCTTTTAGCAAGATTTGCTTCCATTCAAACTTATAAACACTTTTTCAGAATATAAATCAAATGAATTAATGGATGAAGAAATAAATATCCATATGATTAAAAAAAAAAGTTATATAGAACATGTAGTTAATATAGAAAGCTCTTAAATAAAGATCTATGAAATAACAAAAAAAAACCAGGTTTTCCGCGGTCCTATATTTTTTCAAAGCCATTTCTTGTCACTTTTATTTTAACTGAGTTATAAGCATAGACGAGTTGATTGCATTTATCCTTCGCCTTCCGTAAACTTTTCATAAATAAATCTATATCGTCTACTTTTGAACATCTGAAATGTAGATTTCTTTATTATTCTCCTCCGTTATTATTTACTGCCTTGTCCATTTAACATGTCGTTATTCAGTTGTTCACCTTTTCTATATCTCTGCAGGTTTCTTTCCCTTATCCACCTGCATGATGAGCCTTTGTGTACTTAAATACCTAATTAATTTTTCAGTGTCTCAACCCTTGCTTCTTTTATGTTTGTTAGTTTAATAAAGTTCTTCTTTATATCACCACCTTCGTTACTTCCATTTTAAATTATTATCAGCTTTGTTGATACAGCTTGGATTCTTATTTCTTGGTAATGTTCATCCCCTACTTATAAATTCGTCTAAAAACTTTCTTTCGGTGTATTCCATTTAAATATGGTTGACAAAACGTTATGTCTTTTCTCCTAACCTTTTTTTTTCTTTGGCTTAAGCTACCTAAAAACAGTTATCTTTGTTTAAAAATCGACCCAATATACTGACTTTTCTTCTTAATCACATCCAATACATAGCTATTCTTGGGTGGAAAGACATGTTTCTTTATTTTCAGATTCCTCAACCTTTTGTACATGATCCCGGTCGGTTACTTACCAAGAGCATAGGCAATCTAGATAAATTGTAAACAGCTCTCAGGTATTTCTTAGAAAATTGTTCAACGTTTATAAAATGCGGCTCAATGATTTTACTTATTTTAGAGATGTTGATTTAAATGCTGCCACTGTTTTTCTTTTGATTTCTTTTGAATTAGCAAAAATGTCGTTTAATCAATTGTACTATTCATCTAAATCAAATATTGATATTAATCAAATTGATTTAAAGAATGCATATATATAATATATATTTAATGATAGATATTCGCCTCATACAGACATTGTTTAATAAAGTTATATTTCAGAAATTCCTGAAAGCACTTACATCTAAACAAACACGTAAAATATAGTCCCTGCCATTTCAAAAAATCCACCTTTGCAGTATTCCTTATAAAAAGGCATTTGCGTTTATTAGGTAATACCCCGGTGGATCCAAAGTAAAAAATTATATTTTTACTTTTACTGAGATGGCAGAACATCAATCAAATATGGAATACAAATCTTGTGTAAGAATTCCCGCAACCGGTTACATGGTATTTTGTTTTTTCTTACGAGTTGTTGTTGAGTTGAGACCATTTTCAACGTTGCTCGCATCACATTTCCATTGTCCTATTTTGGTCAGCGCTATCATAGGAACAATGTACGCAAAAGCTGGACACTGTACTATTGGTAATCTGAAAGTATGGAACTTTTAGTACCCTTGTGACGTCAGCAGCATTGATAAACCACTGACCAGGTTTAAAACCCACACTAAACCTTATTGTTCCTAAACAAACTACAGTACATAAAACACACAAATAGAGTCGGACTGCAACTGGGCGACACAGAATCGTGTACCTCTAGCAATTGTCAAACTTTATATTGCATAAGCATAGACTGCAGTATGGTATAAAGTTGTAAAAGACGAGTTTAACCCTGTCATAATGATAGGAAATGGTTCATTGATAAAAAGCTGAACAAACTGAAGATTGATTGGTGCACATAAGCGACATTTTAGTTAATGAACCAACGAATAATAATAATAATAATAATAATAATAATAATAATAATAATAATAATAATAATAATAATTGTTGATATAATAATAATAATAATAATAATAATAATAATAATAATAATGAAAAAAAATCAAATATTGAATTCAGATTTCCTTTTTGTAGTAGAATAAGGAATTGATATTGAACCTGCAAAAAAAGAAATAACTATAATAAACAAAATAGACTACAGGTGCAGTTGTTACATCTTCCGTTGTTTAAATACGCGATATGTCAGTACGCACATGCAAGAAAGGTAAAACACATTTGATTAATGGATATTTCACAAATCTTCATGCAATTTGTTTGCCGATATAATAAAAATATATTTTATAACAGTTTTCAGTCACAAGAGGCATTTTCCTTCAGTTAAATATCCAAACTAATACTCTCACAGCGTGTTTATATGTACATATATATAGAAATATTACAATAAAGTGAATTGCAAAGACAAAAAAATGCCAGTGAACAATTTTGGACAAAACAGTAATATATACTGTATGTAAGAGTAAAATATATGAAATATATTATTCCAGCGCCGAACAAAATTGTAAGATGTCCATTATCTTATTTCATGGTTCATTTATTTGTACCTTTAATATTTTTTTGTTGAAACATATCTTAAATCAGCATTACATACTAGTAATTATATGTTTCCGTGCTAACTTTTATTTCTAATTCGGAGTACAGAAGGGGTAGATTTTATTTCCAACTCTGTTTCTTATGGGAAAAAAATAAATAACAGAATTAAAAAAATAAAGTAATAAGACGCTTAGCGCTAGACGTTTGTTGAAAGATAAGAAGCCTCGACAAAAGTATATGATATACAAACATAAGCTCTAAATGCTGCTAACATGATAATTAACAATGAGATAAGAATCAGGACACCTTACACAAGAAGTTCGGCTTAGGCGGAGTGTATCTTACCTAGCACCGAAGAAGGTTTGCACGAGGGTACAAATTCCACAAGCAAATATCATGTTGCCGAGAAGGATAGACTTCACGTGGTTTTCTTCGGGAATGCCAATAGCACAAATCACCGAAGCCATTATACCCGGAGTTGCCAGGTTTGAGCTTAACAACATAAGGTAATGCTGAAATAGTAATAAAAAGAAACATAGATGAAAACTTAATTTTGGGCCATTTGCATACAACAACGTCGAACTTTGCATTTGGGCTTCAAAGTGGAAAAAGAAAAGACCAACACGTTTGGAATAGTAAATACCTTAATAACATTATTCAACACTGATTTCTTTGTCGTTGCGTTTGCAAGGGGTCACAATTTGTCACCATATTTTATAGTCACCATTTAATGTTTTCCGACCAGCATTATCAAATATATCACCTTTACAGATGGCAAATACTGTTTCTTTAACAGTTGGCAATGTATACAAACAAGCATTCAGTAAACAGTTGGCCATGTATACAAACAAGCATTCAGAAAACTATCACTTTTCTATACAAACAAGCATTCAGAAAACTATCACTTTTCTATACAAACAAGCATTCAGAAAACTATCACTTTTCTATACAAACAAGCATTCAGAAAACTATCACTTTTAAATGAACTATAGAATGATTTCGTTGCATGAATTCATTAACATAAACAAGACATATTATAGAAAAGTAACATAAAAACAACATTAAACGTACAAAGAATCGTGTAGCTACATAATTGATAAACACTACGTCATTCAGTTATTATGCTCTTGTTTTTCAGCAGATATGAAAAATAATGACTGTATTACTGTAGAAAATTCGTGGTCATGTACCGGACTGCAGCTGACCTTTTTATACTGGTTTGTCTCTGCATTCTTCACCCCTCATATTTTCCCTGTAAAAACTTTAACCATCATATGGTCCGAAAACTTCGGCAAATCCCGCCATTTTCCGGATAATAAATATATTTTGAAAATGATGAAATGACAAGCTTTTTATATAAAAGATCTGATCATAAGTTATCCTGATATTTATTAAATACATTGTATAATGTGTAAACAGCGAAATTAACTACAATATTTTGTCCATAGTGGTGTATATGACGCATATATTACTTAGAATTCAATTTTATTTAGTTCGCCATTTGTTTTCTTGTTTAGAGCACACGCATTTTTTACATGGGGGCATATGCAGTTTTTCATGGAATGACACAGTGTCACATTGAAGGTTCGATGACAACTGTCATATGATCATATCTGCGGATGTATCAAAATTCAACATTTTTACAAGTTCAATTCAATATCAGTTGGATTGACAGGGCGCGCGGACGGTACCTTGCAATTACCACTACCGTCTTTGAAAGACTTTACTGCAACATTTTCAATTTTGTCTACTCGGGCATTCTTTACGGATTTTGTTTTCTCAATTTTATAACAAAGACACTAAGAAAAGCATAGACAGCGCTTGCAGATTACTCCCGAAAAATCGATTTCGTGAGACGCTATGATTAAATTGCCGAGATTAACAGTTCTCTGGAGCGAAATGTTTCTGCAAAGCAGAAATTAGAATACTATTGATTTTCCACTCTATTAGTTAATAGAGCTTTGATTTGAGTCTTTGCAAGTGCGGTTATAATTGTATATTGCATCTGTAAGCAATCTACTTAGGACTGCTATGGTTGATTTGTGTATTAAAGCTAAAGGTTCAATATGTTATGTTTAGATACATTATGTCATATAATTATCAAATCAAAAGAATAAAGGTCGCAAATGACATTTACTGCCAATTTATACATCAACAATAAGGGAACCCCTCGGTAACTCTCATCAGCCGGTCTGCTCTCTATATGTCAATTAGGAAAGTTCCCCGATCTTCTATTTTAGAAACTAACGTCTTACGCGTTATAAATTGCCTTACAGTGATACGATGCTCTTTTCCGAGATAAAATCACTGAAATACTTAGATTGAAACAACACATAATTCCTTTTCCGACAGAAAATAAATGCTGAAGGCCGCTTTAAAGAGCTGTACAAGCAAAGCAAAGACCATCGACAAAACAGAATTGAACTGATAATGCTCGCCAGATTTTTATTACCTGAAAGCCTAGCAGAATAGTTGAAATCCATGGAGGATTATCGTCAACTTTGTATTGTAGCCCCGACAAAATTGCTGTCTGCATCTTCTTGGAGCCTTTCTTTGGCTTGTCTGTGTTCTGAAATGATAAAAGTCAAGTAACGTATGATACAAAGTCCATATAATTCATCCAAGTATCCGTCATCGGCATTACCCTTGTTGTCAGCTTAAAGCAGCATACCTCCAGATTCATTCTATTTTTCATGAAATATCTGTCATTAACTGCACATAACATGTAAATTTTTACTTCCATCTTGAATAATTTTCATGTTCTTAAAATCTTGATATATTGTTTCTCAAGTTTGATTTCTTGAAATATATCGCCTCATCTGGAGGCATACAGCTTAAATGTTAGAAAAAAGTGTTAGGAAAATTTACAAGGGCTTAAATTGAAGTAACGTAGTTCAGAATAAGTTTCATCAGAAAATATCCTTTAATATAATTGTTAATACAATAACAGTAATTCAGTGAACAATTAATATACAATCCGATCTATTGCAAGCGGTGCCGTACAGCCTAAATTTTGATTGATTGTTGTATCGCAGTTCCCTACTACACCGTTTGAGTAGGTAAACATTTATTCTACGTATGTTATATCTGTGCTTTTCATCTTTATGAGAATCCCTTCTTGTGATATTAAAGCACGAATTTTTACCGCACTTGTAAAAGTTTGGTAATAAATGTTATTAGTTATACAAATAAATATCCAAAATTTCGAAAAGTATGGCTGACTATAACTATTAATTTGCGTTATTTCTAGATTCGTTATGACGTCATTCCAGGAAGATAATATCGCTGAGTCAGCATGTTTTGAGGTAGAGGAATCGCAGCAATAAAGAAGGAAAATGTTTCAGGTAAATAGGTTAAAATGTCAGTAGTGTAAACGAAGCAGTAGGTCGTGATATGTCTTTCCACTGTATTTATGTATCTTTAAGTGGATTGGTCCGCAATGCGCACACTTTCAATAAGTATTTCAAATATACAAATGTATCATATGGATATTCTTATAAAATATTGCTTGAAAACAAATATTGAGATAAAGTTCTAAATGATTCAATATAAACAAAAATATATTCTTTTCTAGAACAATTTATCATCTGCTATATCAATACAGCAAAAATATATTGTTTGTTTTATATAAATAGCACGTTTTGCACGAGTATAAAGTTTAGTATAAAAAGTTCATGTCATACTTTATGAATTTCTAAAAGAAAAAAAATCTACAGTAATATAAAATAACCCGTAAGTATCCAACACTTTTATCATTCAAGTGTATTTCATTTACACAAACGACTTTTTAAACAACCATATATATCATATATCATAATATTTCTACAACATACATATATAAAACCAGAAAAGGTTAAAAGTTTATTTTTTATGAAAAAAAAATAAATAAATTTATGCATACATTGCGATATCTCCTGCTTTACTTTAAAAAAAAAAGATATTTATCGAATGCTCTAGATTTTGATTTCATAATCACAATCATATTAGTGAATAACTTTAATTAACTCTTTGACTTAACTTATTAGAACGTATCATAATTTGAATAATTTTGATTTTAAGCGTGTTACTCTTAGTTTTGAATAAAAAATATAAAGTTAATAGACAGGAATGGTAATAGTTACCTAGATTACACTTAGTCTAATTTAGATTATGGAGTGTTTTATCAAGCACGTCCTTTGTTAATGCACATGCATACAATATATTCCCGGAGATTCCACTCAAATTGCTGTAAATTAATTGATTAAATGTTTCTTTTTTTTTGTCCGTGTTACACCACACATTAAAATCATTCATCAAAGAAGAAACGCTAGAAATGAATAAATTTTAATGGTTAAATGAATGTATTGCTTATTTGTTTTACACATTATTCGTTCATAATTCTCAAAAAAAAAATGAAATTAAAAATGTTGGAAAATGATGCCAGGCTGTATTAGGTTTGGTACAAAATATATTTACATTGTAGGCAATACTGATAAATGTTGTTGTTGCTTTAAACGATGCAACTCTTGTCAAAGTTTATATTGTGACCTTGTATATTGATCAGTAAACGTTACCTATTTCATATATTTACATATTATGTCAACGATTGCGTTATCACGTCTGTCAACTTTAAATACGTGACATTTAATAAGGTGGTCCCATAATCATATGATAATCTGTAGGTTCATGTTCATTAGTAAGAATTACATAATAAAACTGACCAAAAGTGGTGCAACCAAAATTATTTAAACTATTTAACTTGATTTACCAGACTGATTAAAGAGAACCCCACTGAGGTCCAAAAGCTAATACATATGACTTAGATACCTCAATCGTGCTTTTGAGCTATTCTTGTCCTGATTTGAGAGAAAAAGCGTTCCAACGCTTTTTAACTTAACAATTAGAATAATTATTCTGGAAAAAAAACAACGGAATTTTGCAAATAATCTGAAATTTTGCATACACCTTTTTAATCTAGACCTACATCAAGCATGACCAAAAAAATTTTTTTTCAATCAATAATTAGGTGATAAAATCTATAAGATTATTATACGACATTTAAAGTTTATTTTATAAATGGCACTGTAACATTATAATTGTAGTTTACAGTAACATTAAAATGAGTGATAAAAAATGCATTTATATCATAAAACCATCCAAAAACAAAATCGAAAACAAAATAAGAAAATCCTGGACAAAAATGACTCACCAATCAGATAAGCGCCGACAACAAAGGATAGAACTTAAATATCCACCGGGAGACTCTATCAATGGAATCGCGTCTTTAATACTGCCGTTACGTGACTCATATATTTCGTTCGGAACTACTGCATGAAAACTACAATTTTCAGACAGTATAGTTCCTACTGAGAGAAATTCTTTTTGTGGCTTTTACATCCAAAATGAAATTACAATATCACTTTAGTTATAAGTTACTAAATCAGTGCTTAATATTATGTTATGGTCCAGAAAATCTATAAATTTCAGATAAAAGAGAAGAAAAAATCAAGTCTGCTACTAAGGCGTTACAGATCCGCAGGAACTAAAATATTTTCGGGAAATTTCCAATACATGGTGGAAATATACCAAGAAATATTCTTAACAAGTTGTTCATGCTCCACAACGGCCTCGTACATCTCAGAGAGTTTTAGCACGATGCTCTATATCTAATAATCAATCGCATCGCAAAGAGCACGCGCTTTTTAATGATCACAGGGTATTGTGAATTACTTTAACTTTGGCTTTAATTAATTTGAACATATTTCTCCTATTAATTTAACATTTAAAAGTTTGATTTTTTTAACCTACCTGAAGATATTTGATATCTTTTAAATATTAAGGTCTTTTAAAATGATTATTTATTTTACTGTGTACAAGTAAATCTTCTAAGCACTTATCTTAATGTTTTATTTATAGTCATAATAAGTGTTTATTATTGTTTCACTAATGACAATGATTATGTGACATTGTTTCTCGTTTTGTACCATGAAATACCATATTTGTATACACATTTATACTGAAATAAATTATATTATTATTATACTGTAGTCATATAAATGCCAGCAGACCTTAAACTAATAACAGCAGACCTTAAACTAATAACAGCAGACCTTAAACTAATAACAGCAGACCTTAAACTAATACATTTTTAAGACACTACAATAAGTTCCAAAACATTTACTGAATAAAAAACATTTTTAAAACTTTGTACTATGAAATAATCCTGTTTTGAGATTTTGATGAGTTGAATGTCAACAATATACTGTATAGAGTAATAGGTTATGGTGAGTTTATATAGAATTCAACAAAAACAACAACGACGACGACGACGACGACTACAACAACAACAACAACAAAAAAAAAATAACAACATATACCTTACGCATATGTTACATTGATTTTGCAGATTTGTAATGGCTTGCACTAAACATAGATCTATTCGTTGATATGTTGAATAACTTTGTTAATTCAAAAATTATTAGACTTACCGTATTTTCATCTTTGTCATTATTTGACTCTTACTTTTTGTATTGAAAATCCTCCATTTACAAAATTTAATGTAATTTTAACCTTCACTATGTCATGAAATTGGCTAACATATGGATCGATATAATAACTGGCCAGCTGTCACAAATGTCTATTGTGTAAATAGATAGAAATAACCATTTAAATATTTCCAGGTTTATTTATCTATGCTGACAATGTAATGTTTCAAGTACATCATTTGTAAAGTTATTTGCACGGCAATTAATCAAAGTACTCTTTTTAACATTTAAATAGCAAGTAAAACCCATGCAGATAATGTTAAATTGGCATATCTTAAGATTTAGAATTTTTACGTTGACTTAAGCAAATTATTTGTCATATCCCTGGGATCGTTTCACTTTAACGGCTACCAGAAAATACCAAATTGTTTGAGTTATTTTGCGCAATAAAATGATAATTCTGGAAAAAATAGGGTGAAGGTGGGACCTGAAAATTTGCACACAACTTATTGATCCAGACTTTCATCAGTTTGTACACAAATCTTGGGGAAAAAACGAGTCATGTCAAAAGACCTCAGTGGAGTCCCTTTAAAGCCTCGTTATCAATTGCACTAGTTAATGAACAGAACAGAACAGTGATGAGTCATTCCGGGTCCGGGACCCAGGTTTTAGATATATCCCAAGTCGGTCACCACTTTAACAGTACAAATGTGATAAAACATTAGCTAATATGTTACCCTAAAGTTTTTATTTAACGCAATTCTAGTTTAGTATGTCGCCCGGCCTTGTCTTTAAGTTAGCACATTTTTGTTTATTTCACTAGCACGTCTACAGCATATATTAATGCAAGGTATGTACTTCTTCATTAAAATGTTTTGTTTGTTGTTTGATTTAGCACGTTCCATTGACGTATTTTAGCTTTTAAAACAGGTGAGCTATACTGCCATTTAAAGTGAACTTTGTTATCCGCCAGAACTTATTTGGGGATTCAGTTAAGTAAACAATATGGTGACTAGTGTACCGAATATAACTAAGTCAGAAGTAAAATAGTGTTCAGCCAAGGATGTTTAATTTCTGGGAAAAAACATCATCATCATCATCGTCATCATCATCGTCATCATCATCATCATCATCAGAAGAAGAAGAAGAAGAAGAAGAAGAAGAAAAAGGAGAAAAAAGGAGAAGAAAAAGTAGAAGAAAAAGGAGAAGAAAAAGGAGAAAAGAAAGGAGGAGGAGGAGAAGAAGAAGAAGCAGCAGCAGCAGCAGCAACAACAACAACAACAATTCCATGTGCTCATTGAACTTATTAATCGCTTGTTTTGCATTTTTGAACCTAAACCTAGCTGACAACCCATGTTGACAAAAATGTTCCGTCACACGAGTTGTAAATTAAAGTTAATATTTCACAAGATCTCACTTACATGTATCAATTGTTTTACTATTCTGTAACCAAAGTTACTGTATTTTTCTCTTATAAGAAAGTGTTGAGATATTGCGACTTTTTTAATATAATTATATTGTATATTATAGATAAAGAAATTTAATGAAAAGGAAATATATTCATTTGTTATTTTTTGAAGAAAAAAATTAGTTGTTAAAAAGACTACCCGACGGTGTCGATTCCTAAAAAACTCAATGCCATTTGATAATAGATCTATGTTTTATGTACTAGAAGAAGGAGAAAATAAATCAGATAAAATTGAATTGAAAACAACAACAAAAAAACAACAAAAATCAACAACAAAAACACATAAATAAAGAGGATTCTAACTTTTGCTAAAAATAAAAGCATATGCTTTGTACATATAAATATACGTTGATGTAAATGTTTGAGCGTTAGCATATGCTGAATTCCACACGTGTTTAATTGTACTACATCATCTGTTTAACATTTTAGGGGTCATTTTTAAGAATCAAACTCTCAGGCGGTCTCCCATTTTAAGTTGAGTATTTTTGAAAAAAAAAATGTCCCAAAGAAACGTCATTGTTTTGTTCCGTTTAATTTAGATAAACTAAATTTCAGAATTTTAAATTTCCGATATTTTTTTCCGGAAAAACCTTTTCGGACAAAGAGATATATGGATGAACAGAAAAATAAAATAAAACAGATATATAACCGAACAGTGAATGTGTTTCTTTAAATTATCATTTTCATATGATTTCATATGACAATATTTTATAGAATTTATTGAATAGAATATATTGATAGTATTATATATTCATTTACGAGTATGTTATGTTTCTTAGCACTAGTGACTAGTGACTTAGTTGCTTTTTGTTGTTATTTTTTCCGAATCCCCCCTGTATGATTATTAATGAATAACAATAAACGAATGTTATATTTCTTTAACAAGCCTTTACAAATAATTGCGTGAAAAGTACCAGAATAAATATGATATATTCAACAATGTTGGGAGGGCTGTTGGTAATGTTGTAGCCCGGCCCATTTTTTTGAATATTTGGTTTTGTACAATTCATGAAACTTTACATATATTTATGTAAATAATAGTTGCATTAAATAATATTAAACTAAAACCTAAACTAAACTAAACTAAACCAGTGACTATTTTTGTAAGGAAAAAAGATAGAAACCGACTTACCATTAATTCCATTTTGTTTTTCATCTTAAATAGAATTTTCTCGATGAATATTCCTAGATATGAACAAGTAGTATAAGATTATGAACAGAATTTCATTTACTACAATGTCAATGACAATGCATAAATTACTTTTACTTAATGTATTAAACACAATAAGTGATATATAAATATATTCACTAATTACCAAAGTCTTGTTTGAACAACTAAACTGTAAGTATTATTTATTAAAAATGACCTCTTGAAACGAACAAACAAACCATACAAACAAACAAAGAGAGAGAGAGAGAGTTAGGTTGTCTATACGTTGTCTAGGCCAAGCAGTAGCAGGGGTCGCTCACTAAAAAGTAAATATGACGACCATTTAGCAGATTTTTATTTCAACCAATCAATAAATGAATCAATGAATCAATCAATCAATCAATCAATCAATCAATCAATCAATCAATCAATCAATCAAATTGAATTATCAAGTCCCTATACTCAAGTCAGTACTATTAATACCTTCTAATGTCAGAACTTAGTAAAAGTACGCTTGTATATTTACTTAATATATCTAATTTATCATATTGAAGAAGTAATTTGAATTATAATTGATACCGACCATCTTCACATGTTTAATGGTAGTTCTTAATTTTACTAAAAGCGGACGCATGTCGCTTTTGAATAAAATGAATCCCGACCTTTAGACAATACCTACAAAGACGCGCCTATGCTTTAATGAAGTTTGAAATCGTCTCACATCATCCGAGAGTTGTATATTTAACATACGATAATGATTCATTCACCTGTGCGCACTCTTTTAACTACATGTATTTCATTTTGAGACGAAAACGGAAAATATTGCATAAATATATTTTGCCACGATAGTAATTTGAAAGCATTACTTAAACGCATTTCAACGTTTCTACGACTCGAAAGATTTTGTGATATTGTTTTTATTTTGAATATCAAATTTATACGTTCAAGGCCTAAATGTTATTTACATATACCTATGGTTACGGTAGTTGATACACAGGTCCATGACATTTCGTTTACAGACAATAGGCTGAATTAAGAATATGTCTAATTATTAATTAGTTTGACGAGTACAATTAAGTCGAGTACAATTGTAAGTGCTGGAACAGTATGCACTCTTATCACGGATTAATTTAGACAGAATTAGAAAGACGCATGAGTATCTATAGATTAAGGCAGGATTTCCATTTATCATTCATCCAACAGCGGTGGCCATGTGTTGGCCATGAGTTCGATCAATTTGGGATATTCTATATCCTTTTAAAGATTATAGCGTAAGAAATGTAATCTCGGGAAGTGTCATCTTTTGACTGCCGTAGATTCAATATTTATGTGCCTATGTGGAGGTGGCCTAGGCATGGAAAAATATACACATCGATTCTGGCCAGTTCAATATTTTCATCATACAAAGTTTTTACTTTAATGAAA